GCGTGTACCCCGCAAAAAGGGAGAGCAGGAGAGGGAAAAAGAAAGAGAGGCAGGTCGCGCCGAGCGAACCTGACAACTTCTTTGGCCACATGTAACATTCACCTGTATACAAAGTCCCCAAACCCCTTCAAAAAAATCTGGTACTGTATGTCTTTGTGAGAAATTTCCTGAATGTTCATTTCTCCTGGTAATTTTGCCTTAAGTAGAAAGACCTTGTTACTAAATATAATCTTTAACATTAGGTTCCTGCTACTTGGACATCTGTTTAAGACAGATTTTCAGCTGCAATTCATGCTTCGAGAGGAGCCAGCTGAGGTGGCTCAGGCATCTGTTTTGGATGCCTCCTGGGTGCCTTCCCAGGGAGTGCATGTCCCACCGGGAGGAAGACCCAGGACACGCTGTAGGGACTATGTCTCTCGGCTGGCCTGGGAATGCCTTGGCATTCCCCCGGAGGAGCTGGAGGAAGTGTCTGGAGAAAGGGAAGTCTGGGCATCTTTGCTTAGACTGCTGCCCCCGTGACCCGGTTCCAGATAAGCGGAGGAAAATGGATGGATGGATGGATGGATGGATGGATGGATGGATGGATGGATGGATGGATGGATGGATTTATTTCCATATAGCCATTATGGGGAGGCAACAGTGGTGTGGTGGGTAGAGCAGTCGTTTCCCAACCAGAAAGTTGAAGGTTTGAATCTCGGTGCCTGCAGTCCGCGTGTCGAAGTGTCCTTGGGCAAGACACTGAACCCCCCCTGAAACTACCGGACTGAAACGTGGTTTCCATTCTGTGCAATTAAAGTTGCTCACCTGGTGCATTTATTCAGGTCCTTGGTGCCAGAAGCTCAGAAAAGCTTTTTTTGTATATATATTGTTAAGGGAAAAAAATCATATTTTCTTTAATTAATTCTGTATAATACATGAACAACCATCAGTGAGTGAGAAATAAAGAGAATTGAGATGGATACGAGAAAGGAGTTGTCTACAACATCACTCAGAGAGGCATGTTACAGAGACTCAAAGAATAAAGGAAGATTCAGTTCAATATAAAGCAGAGAATAACGTCACACACAAAAGGAGGGTACACTGAGAACAATCATGTATCTGTGTTCAAAGAGTTTTTGATTTCCAAAACACTGAGAGGTTCACAGGATATAAGCTCAAGGTCTGCGGATATTACAGTTGCTTCTGGAGCAAACAAAGATACTTTAGGCATTCAGTGTGTCAGCAGAAAACAGAGTTCACTTGTTCAGTGTGTGAAAGGTTACCACAGTTAGTTACCAGACTATAGTTTAATATATAAATGAACAATATAAATGGATATACTGAAAAATGCCATTACAATAGGTAGTATATATTCTACATATGCATGTGCATCATAGCCAGAATATACATTCACTTTGCTATAACAGATTGCAGTATGTGAGTTATGTCACAGTAGTCATAAATAAAGGAGCTTCAACAATATATGTATTGTGAATTTAATGATATCTGACACGTGCAAAAACTAGCAACCAGAAAAAGTACAGGCAAAACTGATGGTAGAGCAATACAGAGTTAAATGTTAAAAAAAAAGAAGAAATGCCACTTTCAATAGTTTTCCAAAAAGGTAACAGCTGATGAATTAGCTACTTGTAAACTCACGTAATGAACCACAAACTGATGAGCAATATGTTTATTTGTCAAACTATTGCTGTTACATGCAGAAATATGTCTCACTGACTCCCTAATGCTAGTGTAACTTTTCTTTTCAGTGAGTACGTAGCTATCAACTAGTTGCTACAGTTAAGTACTAGCAGAGCTCTACCCAGCTTCCACCCAAACAGGTTGCATTTCATCTTGTGAACAACAGAGTGTTAACATCTGTGTTTATTAAGCTCAAAAAGTTTCATTTTTTGGTGAAATTGTCAAAAATAAATAAATTCAATGATATGTTTATTACAGAGGTCATAGTTAAAGGTGATGTACTGGACTAGGTTACATTCAGAAGTGCAACACAACAACAAACAGATTGATCACCTTGATGTGAAGATATTCCATAAAATGGAACTGAGGCAATTTACAATAGCCCTCACTTTTACTTTGAGGAGATATTCTGAATCTTTTTTATAATTGTGCACTATGGGAGAGTGAGGCGGCATTCTCTCTGGAATTTGCCACTTCATTCAAAAACCATTCATCATATCACAATAACAATGGCATTTTCTGATTCCTCACAATTTTCACTACTGTTTTAATGTATAATTTGTGTGTGGAAGCTTAAGTTTAGCAGAATAAGAGCAGAAAACAAGCTATGCTGACTCAGCATCCACACAATTAAATTTGCTGTTGCTTTTGTTTCCCATCAGAGCAAGAGTTCTCACTGGGTGTCATGTTAGAACTCATCACTGTATATTCTCTGTTTGGATAGCCATGTATTGCTATTTGCAAGTTAACTCACTGGCTGATTTTTGTATATAAGGCCATTTTAAATTTTTTCTCACACTATCTGTGTGGATTTATTAATTTAGTTTGTGCCTTGTGATGTGATGTCAGATTCCAGGACTTTTATATGCTCACACTGTCCCAAAGACTCACACTGAATTTGGAAAAAATGCCTTCGAACAGAGCATTGGGTGAATCTTAACTATTAGGGAATTAGAATCTATTGGAAAGTATAATGGTTTTCATAACTAGGCCTACTGGACCTATAGGCTATTGTGTACCCATGTGGCTTTGTACAGAATGTCAATTTTGTGTTGATGATGCTCTCTTGTAAATGAGATTAGCAACCCCAATGGGATCTAACCTAAATTAAATAATAGCCTACAAATACAAAAATCAATAGTCTGGTAATAATCTGGCGGAGTAGTTAGTATAGTACCATATTGCAATAGTTGTTAAATAAAAGGCACCTACAAGCAATAGCATCTGAACATTACATTCTGCTGCGCTATTATTGCTTTTCTTGCCTGTAGGCGGCGCCTTGAAATTGTGGCGCTGCTGCTCTGTCATTGGATAATACTGCTCGGAGGAGGAGATCCCGCGGCAGTTAGCGCTTCATTGACGTCGAGGAAGAAGAAGAAGAACACAAGATCGGATTACAAGATGGCGGTCTGTGGACGTTAGCGAGGAGGCCTTTAGAGTTGTTGTATTCTCTCTATATTCTACTGTTTGATATTAGGCCGCTTGATTGGTTTATTCACGGTGTAAACATAATATGTTAATGAAATAGTGACAAATATATGTGGTTGCTATTATAAGCTTTACGTAAACGTACATGTTTTATAACATGTGGGTGGACACAAAGTTAACAAGTCGAGGGTAGAAAAACACTAGACGGGGTGAGGTGATAGCTTGTTAGCAACCAGCTAGCCTGCTAGCTCGGACTCGGTTAACCATGTCGGACACTCGGCGGCGAGTGAAAGTATATACGCTGAATGAAGACCGGCAGTGGGACGATCGGGGTACCGGACACGTATCGTCTACCTTTGTTGAACGTCTGAAAGGAGTATCATTATTAGTTCGGGCCGAATCAGACGGTAGGTTCCCAGTTAGCATAGCCACACTGATGTTTCCGTGGCTAACGTTAGCATGCTAACTCCCGTCTGTCCTAAAATAATGCTCTCAGTTGGCGTTGTTTTAACTAGCTGCACTATGTAGAGCCCACTGTTTCATAATGAACAATCTATTTTAGTCTTGTTCCATGATGAAAGGCTATAGCGTTAGATTTGTGAGAAGCTGGTTCTAGCAATCATCTTAGTGTAATGTTAGCAGGCGATGTGATCTCAAGAGCATTGGGCCCATCAAAGTCTTAAGCTTTAACGCACGTACATGTCATTACTCAGCGTTGCGAACTGTTGTGTTCATGGACAGATCACACAAAATAAATTGTTAGAATACGAAAGCGGTGGGTAACAAGCCCATCTATTTTGTTTTTACAACATTGTTTTATTCACATTATCTAACGCTCTCATCCAGGCCGATCTCGTGATCTAAAGTTAAAAGTTAGTTGAATCTTTGTGTTTTAGGATCGCTACTATTGGAGTCGAAGATAAGCCCGAATACTGTATATCAGAAACAGCAGGTAAGTACAGTTCTCTGAGTTTGGATCATTCACAAAGGGCACATACAGACATAATAGATTCAGTTTTTCAGTAATTTAGAATTAAGCTGTTGCATTCTAATTGCTCAAACTGCCACTTTTTGCTTGCATTACTGCTACAATGATGCAGTGCATCATTAGTAATTACAATATCAACAAACTTGACACACAGTTTAAAATAATAGATTTGAGACACTTTTTGCTTCTCAGACAAATTGGGTTTATTTGGCATTTTAAAGGACTTCCAGACTTGGTGTCTTACAAGCATGGAAGAGCTTATGTGAAATCTCACTCTGTTGAGGTGTGTTTTTGAGATGTAACCTGTGTGTGAATACATGCAACCAGTCTGTGTGTCCTGTGAATATATTGAAAAGCATTTCTTTGTATACATTTTGTTTTTCTTCTCCTTTCCAGGACACATTGATTGTGTGGTCAGAAGCAGATAATTATGACCTTGCCTTGAGTTTCCAGGAAAAGGCTGGCTGCGATGAAATTTGGGAAAAGATTTGCCAGGTAAATTCAGTGTAGTTTTACCAAGTTTTGTATATTGTTTTACAGCATTTGTTTACTGGGAAGTACACTAAGGGGAGAGGTTCTGGTTTGTTGAGAGCTGAAATTTTAGTGACACTGCTTAAAAGGGGCAGCAGAGGCTAAATTGATACTTTAATTAAATTTAGTTTAATTTATGTCTACCAATTAATTATTGCCCAGGTTCAACGCAGGGACCCTGCGCTGGACATCACCCAGGACCCCATTGATGAGTCAGAGGAAGAGCGCTTCGAGGAGATTGCTGAGACGAGCCACCTGGTGGAGCTCCCTCCTTGCGAGCTAAGCCGACTAGAGGAGATTGCTGACCTGGTTACGTCTGTCTTGTCTTCACCCATCCGGAGGGAAAAACTTGCCTTGGCCCTGATGAGCGAGTGCTACATTAAGAAACTCCTAGGTCTCTTCAGAGAATGTGAGGACCTGGACAATAGGGAGGGTCTACATCACCTCTATGAGATTGTCCGTGGTGTGTTGTTCCTCAATAAAGCAGCCCTTTTTGAAGTGATGTTCTCTGATGACTGTATCATGGATGTGGTGGGCTGCCTTGAGTATGACCCAGCGCTGGTTCAGCCTAAACGGCACCGGGAATTCTTGACCAAGACAGCAAAGTTTAAGGAGGTGATCCCCATCACAGACTCTGAGCTTCGGCAGAAGATCCACCAGACCTACCGGGTGCAGTACATCCAGGACATCATCTTGCCCACACCATCTGTTTTTGAGGAGAACTTCCTGTCCACACTCACCTCCTTCATCTTCTTCAACAAGGTGGAGATTGTCAGTATGTTGCAGGTAAGGATCCAAACCAGGTGACATGTATAAATCTTTCAGACACAGTTATCAACAAGCCATTGTCCAATGGGTGTTTCTGGACCAAATATCACTGCCGGTGGACAGTCCTGTATGTGGAGTATCCTAAATCTGCAGTGTAGTTTGGCTAGTGCCAGAGGACCTGTCCTCCCTGTGCTTCAAGACAGTAAAATAATTCATTCCTAGTGATAAATGCATAAGTGAATTTTAATTATTAAATGTATTGATTTGTTATGGGAGATGTAAAGCATGAAATCATATGGAAAATACACAGTTGAAGTTTTATGTAAGTCTTATTTGCTGTACTTTGAATTTTATTAGACTGAATTGAAGGAGGATTGTGATGTTTTATCTGTGCATGTCATCAAGCAATGCAGTAGCCACTGAGGAAACTTTTACAAATTTTGGTTTTGTCCATGATTAAAGCCATCTGTGCTTTAAAGCTTTCTAATGTGATGTTTATATTAAAACATAGAATAACATTTTTGAAAGGTCATTCTGCAAATGAATTAAGGTCCACTTTCTGTTGCTTGTATGTCATTGTGTTTCCGGGCTTAATGAGAAATAAAGTGACTGTCTCTAAATATCTTGCATTTCTGTTGGAATAGTTCACAATTTTATTCTTGTAACCAAATGTGATTACAGACAATAAAGGATGAAGTTTGTACTCATCTTTTTTTTTTTTTTTTTTTTTTTTTTAAAGCTGATTTGAGTGCCTTGATTTCTTAACCCTGTTTTCCCTGTGCCACAGGAGGATGAGAAGTTCCTAACAGAGGTTTTTGCACAGCTTACAGATGAAGCCACAGAGGACAGTAAAAGGAGAGAGCTTGTGAGTCCATTAATCGTCAGATCTTTTGGTCCAATGCTGTAGTAACGTTTTATATGGTTAAAATATAGACACTGAAAGATTGGACAGTATTGTAATGTTTCCGTTCATTGGTGTGAGTGAAATGTACAGTATTGTTTGCATTGGGGATTTATTCTGCTGTCTGTAATGCCGTTTCTTTTACACTAGTTAAACATTTACTCACTTTTCTGCATCGTTCTTCATAATACTTTGGATGCAAATATATCTTTCTATACAGGCTTGGTGTACAACTTTCAGACATTCTTTATACAACATTATCTCTCACTGAGGGTAATAGAAATTAACTTAGTCTGTCGGTTCATGCTGTTGTCAGTTATTCAGCTTTAGAAAATGTTCACATCCTGGAAAGGAAACTGTTTTGGAGACAGAACAAGAAATTGATTTTCCTTCTGTACAATACCACAAATGAATGAGTGCTTGGGAATAGAGTTTTTTTTTCATGACCTTTAACAGTTTAACTCAATGCTGAACAAACATCGTCTCTTTATTTTCTCTCTTCTATTCAGGTGAATTTTGTCAAGGAATTCTGTGCTTTTTCACAAACGCTGCAGCCACAAAACAGAGATGCTTTCTTCAAAACTCTGGCAAATCTAGGCATTTTACCTGCTCTTGAAATAGTCATGGTATGTTCTGGACAATATATCAATGTGAATATCAAAGCTGATGTTAATAAAGCAGTTGTTTTTGGTATAAGATACTCCATATTTTCTTCTTTGTCTATGAATGCTGAATTTAGAAAACATTGTGTGTCTAAGTCTGTGTCTTCTACTCTGTTCAGGGAATGGATGACATGCAGGTGAGGGCGGCAGCTACAGACATCTTCTCCTACCTGGTGGAATTCAGCCCGTCCATGGTCAGGGAGTTTGTCATGCAGGAACCACAGCAGACAGATGATGTAAGCATCAAAACATTGTCACAAGCATGTTTTCACTATTCAAATGTCAGAGATTAAGTTTGTTTAGCCCAGGTATTTTGTGACAGAAGGCATAGTTAAACAGAATATTTCAATTATGTACTGTCCTCAACTTGGTTGATCTAAGTATGAAATGTTATGTTCTGCCTTACAGTATGTGTAAACATCTTTCCCCTCATACAGTTTTCATAGCACACAATCCATGTACACAAATGACTACACATGACAAATAGATTTCCTCATAAAACCCTATAAAAATGTTCTTGCTCTTCTGAGTAGTTAATAATTGAAGTGAACACTAGGGTTGCAATGGTAAGAGTTTTTCACTGTATGAAACTGTCTCACAAAATTTCACAGCATTACATACCTGATAGCTGATTACACCACAGGACTGAAATGGTGTCATATTGACTTCTGTCTGTGTGTCTTCTTTTGTTTACAGGATGTTCTGCTAATAAATGTAGTGATCAAGCAGATGATTTGCGACTCTGACCCAGAGTTGGGAGGGGCTGTCCAGCTGATGGGTCTGCTCAGGACACTCATTGACCCTGAGAACATGCTGGCTTCCACCAACGTAAGCAGAACATACACCCACAGGAGGATTTTAATGGAGATCGGCTATAACATTTTGCACCGACGAACAATAAGACCTGGACCATTTATCTAACTCCCATCAACAGTTAACCCAAATCATGATGCCTCTCAGATCCACTGTGGCCAGCTGTTAAAATGCAAACTCCTCTTTGCTCTCTTTCTTTTCTTTTGTTCCTTTTAGAAAACCGAGAAGACAGAATTTTTGGGTTTTTTCTACAAGTACTGCATGCATGTCTTGACTGCTCCTCTGCTGGCCAACACCGCACATGATAAAAACTCAAAAGGTGAGCTCTCCTAAACTGAACTCGGTGTTTCAACCAGTAAGATAAACAGAGAATTTGACGGTTATTCTGTCTTCCAGATGTGCAGGAGGGTTCAACTAAAATCAACCCAGTGTGCCCAGGTGGGTGTTATTTAAGTTTGTGAATGGCAGAGTTTGCTGGAAACTACTGCTCTTGTAGCAGAGAGTAACAGTACATTTTGACTTTGGTGTTTAGTCTTTTAATTTTTTTCACCTGCAACCCTTAAAAAGGGTTAAATCAGTGACCAGTCCCTCTTATAAACTGGCTTAAATGATGGACTGGCTGAGATTTTCTACATCAAATGAAGAACACTTCCAGAGTTGTATTATAAAAAAAAAACTAGACTGTAGGATACATTTGTATAGTCTAGGATTGCACACTCGATTTTAATTGAAAAGAATTATCTGTCTTTTATCTAGAAAAATGGTAGTACTGTTGGATATAGTGTACAGCTTAAGTGTGCAGTGTTAGTTTTGGAAATGTTGTGTTGCATTGCATACTTGTAATTTGCTGGCATGACTTAGCTTTGTTGTTTCTTTGTGTAGACAACTTCCAGACAGCTCAGCTGCTGGCACTGATCCTGGAGCTTCTGACCTTTTGTGTGGAACATCACACCTATCACATCAAGACCTACATCATGAACAAAGACCTGCTCAGGAGAGTGCTGGTGCTCATGAACTCAAAGCACACCTTCCTAGCTCTTTGTAAGTCAAACCCCAACCCCCACCCCCCGTTCACACAGACGTCCACAGACCTTTCTACTGTTTTGTTCTGGTTTTATTTTTTATTTTTTTCAGTAATTACACTGCGTTAATGAACTTTTACAAGGTTTACAGTTGTGGGTTTTTAACCATACACCAGCTGTGCATCTGCTAGATGTGTCTACTCTCACATCAATGAATGCGCATTTTGTCATTTCTCCTGACAGTTAAATGCAAACCCAGCTTCATTTTTACAAAGTTGTTTGTTTTGTCCAAGGTGCCCTACGTTTCATGCGCAGGATCATTGGTCTGAAGGATGAGTACTACAATCGCTACATCATCAAAGGGAACCTGTTTGAGCCTGTCATTAATGCCCTGCTGGACAACGGCACTCGATACAACCTGCTCAACTCAGCCATCATCGAGCTCTTTGAGTTCATTAAAGTGGTGAGTAAACAAAAAAAACGACCCTAATGACAACTGATCATCTGCACTGTGTTTGCACATGATGCTGAAAGTGGGATTGTTTGTGATCTTGCACTGTGTCTTCTCTTCACAGGAAGACATCAAATCTCTTATCGCTCACATTGTGGATAACTTCTACAAAGCACTTGAATCCATTGAATATGTCCAGACTTTCAAGGGCTTGAAAGGCCGGTATGAGCAGGAGAAAGACCGGCAGAGTCAGAGGCTCAACAGGTTAGATTTGGGCAGTGATCTCTGTCCTACAGATGTTATGTCTTTATTTAAATATTCCTAGTTCTTACTGCTCCCCCACACACGAAGGTAAAAGTATTCTTTCTTTGATCACATTTTTCTGTAGGGTATTGTATTTTACGAAGCCATGTTTCTCCTTGTAGATATCGCAGAGATGCACGGTCGTTGGATGAGGATGAGGAGTTGTGGTTCAATGACGACGATGACGATGATGACGATGGAGAGACTGTGGAGAAGAGAATGGAAGATGACTTCTCTGACAGCTATGGCAAGTACATCGAAGCCAAAAAAGGTAAGCTGCTTTGGTATTATTACAGTACAAGTATCTGCGTCAGTGTTTTCCTCACATTGCACATGCCTTTTAAGTTTGATGTTTACAGTGTCTGTTACTGCAGGAGCTGCCAACGGAGCTAATGGTGCCAACAACAACGGGAAGGTTGCTGCAATCCCCCCGGCTTCGCCAGCCATCACTCCGAACAACAGTTCCGCTTCCTCTGTCAAAACAGTTGCTCTTCCTGCTACACCAGTAGTGAAGGTATTGCATGATAATGCAGTGAAGTTGAGATCTGAGTCACTTCGTTTTAATCCACTTATTTACTAAAGTCACCTGTTAACAGCCACTTTTACCCAGTGTCATTACCAAACTGTAGAAGTTTCAAAAATATGTTTGGTGTCTGAGCACTATGAAGAATACAATAAACTGTAGAAGTTTCAAAAATATGTTTAGTGTCTGAGCACTATGAAGAATAAAATATGTACCACATGTACCATAACAGTTGTTCCACAGCATGTGTGTAATTCTGTTTCTTAGGCAAAGCACAGGCCGAAGGGCAGTTACACATGCTTCATAACTAACAACACAAGCCAAACGCAGACAAGCTAAGCTAATGTCATGGCATTTCAGGTTTGGCTGATAAATGCTAATAGTCCTGATGATTAACTATGATTTTGTGTTTATTACTCTTTTTGGCTTGATTTACTAACATTTATTGCACTCCTGTTGATGATGGACAGAAGTCTGCGTTGAGAAACCTTAATGTGTTTTAGTTTTAATGTTTTACTTTGCTTGTACTTGGTATTGTGTCATTATTGGTTGCTTTACTTCCTGTTTCTCTCAGACTGCTCTGGTTGGTTTGGTGGACTATCCTGATGATGAGGATGAAGAGGAAGATGAGGAGGAGGAGGAAGAGCAGTCTCCAAGGAAACGGCCCCGTCTGAGCTCTTAAGACTAATTGTCCTCTGTTTGGACATGGTAGACGGACAGAGAGTCCCTCCTAACCTCCTCCTCTGGTTGTCTTCTTGGTCCTTGGCCTGCCCGTGCCACCTTTTGGTCTCACTAAGGGGACAGGCAAAGACGAGCTCCCACCTCGCTCACTCCCCAATCCCTTCGCCTCTGTTTTTCTCTTGGTGGAAGGAGATGGAGAACTTTCCTTTTACTCAACAGACGGATCAGTTTGTTCCTTGAGCCTGTTAATTTTACCTCTTTGTTTTTACCAACAGCCTTTCTCTTGGAGATCCTAAAATCTTTTGTCCTGTTAACCCTTTTGCAAACTCATCCCTCCTCTTTTATAACACTTCTGCTCTCCCAGTTCCAACCTCTCTGAACACCTTGTCCTCCAATCCACCGTTCTCTATGTACCAACCACAGAGGCTGCAGTGGAAAATAAGTGCCAAGGCGGGTCCTCCCTCCACTCTGTTGCTATGTCAACCATAGCAAGGTAGCTGCGGTACTCCAGCAGCCATCACACATCCTCATGTGAACTTCCATCCTTCTTGAACATGAACCATTGAGCTCCAGGGACAGAGGAAACCAGAACGCAACTAGCCAGTGTATGAACTGTTGAGCAGGCCAGTCAGGCTAGCAGGACTAGCCGTCATAGTTAATAATAGAAAGCTTGACTGGCACCATAGAAGAATTAAACATAATGTTCAGAAACAATTGAGCTGACAAAATGTACCAGGTTGAAAACTTGGCAATAGTGAGGCTTAGATCCAGAGGAGCAGGACTCAGACCTTGAAAAGCCATGGTGTCAGTTGGGCCAATGCATACACACGCGCCGTCACACACACACACACACACACACACACACACACACACACGCGTCGTCACACACACAGACACAGGACTACACTAGCCCGAAATTCTGTATTTCATGCCTTTGTTAAAAAGCACTGTACAGATGTTTCCCCCCTTTTTAATCATTTGCCCCTGATCTGATTTTGAGAGGGGAGAGTGATACCTACCTGTGTATTTTTCCTGTTGCACACAAAGGTGGGGTCACTGTTCACCCTTTCAGTTCACTTTGATTCAGTGTAAAATGCTGAGAAGTTGCAGATGGTTGTTTTAAAAATAACAAAACTGCAGTAAAGTGATTTTTGCAGCCAACATTTTGAAGATGTCTGGAGTTTTGTATTTTAGGGGATTTAAGAGTTTAGTGGCCTCAACTATGATGCACATGTAGCCCAGCTTTTTTGTTTTAATTGGCTGACAGACCTGAGCTATTGGTGTGCTTGGAGTAGATTTAGTGCACACTTTAGCTGTAGGAGGAAGCCATCCTCTTTTCTCACAGATCTCAGGTTGCATCAGAAATAAAAAGCTGCCCACTTTGTGCACTGTAAACACTGCTGTCTGGTGAAACATTTTACATTTATTAAAGTGGAGAACGATTCCAGTGAGGCATAAGGGGCTGGGGGTGCAAGTGGTTTTATCCAAATTCAAAGGCCCAATGTGCTCAGCACCAGTTGATCCAGGTCAGATGAATTCAGCTTAGTCCCACAGTTGACCTTGGATTTTCTTTGGTTTGCCCATATAAATGGCTACAGATTTAAAGTAAGTTGAAAGATTTTTCAAAATAATTTTAATTAAAATTCCACAAAGTAAGTTGTTTTTATTAGTGATGATAAAGGCGAGTTGACCCTTGGTTTTACGATGTCAGAAGGCAACGAGACATTTCACTGTCAGGTTGAACCATTTCTCATGTTTTATCTTCTGTCCGGTTTCACCAGAGGCATAGAGGCAGCGGAAGGGAATGAAAACTTGCTTAAACAGCTCAGTCTCACAGACCTTTTCATGTGCAACCTGAGTTAAACTGCAGGCAGGAGGTCAGTAGAACAAGTCAAATGATTGCTAATGTGCTTTTCAGGAGTTAAGCAGTACAAGAGCAGAGTATCGTCTGTTAGGGTTGCCCAACAGTGACTTTCTGCTTTCCCTTGATGAATTTGTACAAAGTGCATTTACTACCACTATCCATTCTTAACATTTGTATGGATTTATTTGAACAGTTTTGAAATTAAATGTGAACCTGATGTCAAACTTGTGAATCTAGCTTTGTTTTAATAATTTGCTGATTTGGCAGATGGTGCTACAAAATTTCTATTTGATTTAGAACTAAAGCAGATCAGTTTGAGACCAGCCGACCATGAAGTACCTGTCAACTCCCTGCAGCTTTGCAGTTTCTAAGCAGACTGGAATCCAAGTTGTTTCTATAAAATGTAGTTTATTAAACAGCATATTTCACAGTATTACATAGAAACTGGTGCATCACTTGAAATGAAAACTGCAATTAGTTTTAAGATAAATACTGCCTTGCTTGTAGAGGGCAACATGTTTTCTATGCCCCTTTATGAACACGACTGGGTTCATCAGACAGCTCCCACAGTGCTCGTCGACTACAGTTTACTCGGCTACATCACGTAATAGCTGACTCTTCCCTGTGGGAATGCCAGCGACAGAGGAAACCAAAACTGTACACTTGTGTTAGCTAAGGTTACCTTCACCTCAACACAGGACTCTCCTAGTCAAATTTTCAACCAAAATTAATGCTTAGCTCCGATAACATTCCAGACTAGGTGCCCAGCTTTGAGTTTTTCACCCCATGGCCCATTCATGAACTTCAGACTGCTGTCTACAGAGAAACATGCCCAGGAATGTGTTCAAAAACATTCCTTCACTCAGTTCCCTGCCTATGTGACTCGATTACCCTGTATTAAGTAGTAAAATCAGATTTCAGATACTTAGGCATCATGCTTTTGTGTTATTACTAGAGATGGGCAGATGATACCGACGCTTGACCGCTGGCCCTTAGTGGCATAAGGAAATGACCATATGCTGTACTCCCAAGTCCAGCACTGATACATTTTCACCTTCCCTTGCATACTCGGCTTTTGTGTTACCAGATTAGCTTGATTTAATCACTGCAGGTGGTAAACAGCCATCGGGAGTTTAGAGTAGCTCTATGTGCTCACTGCCAAGACTCAGGCCATTTGGATAAGTTGGGCAACTCTTAGTGCGTTGGTGTTAATCATTTAGCATTTTTATTTAAATACTCCAGATTTTTGTCTAACATGTTAGAGCTCATAGCTATGAGAACAGTTCTACATGGTGCCACTAAAAATGTTAAAGTAGACAACTTTACATCATTATCTGAACACATTGTGACTCATGAAATAGCACAAATAGCAGCCACACGAGTCCACACTAGTAGAATAAAAATATTTTACTATCACATACTACACAGTCAGATACTATTAAAACACTGAACATTATATATTCAACATGCAGGCTTGGACTTGTTATTGCACCCACAATACATAAATCAGCGAGATGTTGTAGTGCTTTGGTTCCTGTGTTTAAGGGGTGCTGTAAATTTGACAGTCCACCAGATGGCACTGTGTGCACATTTGTTTAAAGCCCCAAAGCTTCCAAAGCACTATATAGTCCATACATTCTGTGGAATTTGGACACCTCAAAATGTTAAATTAAATGTTGCACACTTAATGGCAAATACGGAGCGACTCTGGACACAGGCTGATTAGTGGTGACAAGAAAGCCATATAAAAGCCTTTTAGGTTGTAGGAGCCTAACAGCACTTTATTAAGGTTTTCTGATAGTTATGTAGACTGTCAATGTTACTTCACTGTACATTATAACTATTACTTGTTAGCTCTTGCAAGAAGAGAGTTCGAGGAAGGAGTTGGAGCATCAAGCTAAGGTTTCATTCAGTGGATCACCCCTACATGGCTTCTACTCAGGTCCGGTAACGGGTCCATGTGCTTTTCAGTTTGTCTGTTTTCTGAACTTGCTCAGTCAACCATGCAACTGTCTGACAGATTTTCGAATACTTGAATGGTGTAAAAGAAAATGCACCATCTTCCTCTGTAGACAGCAATGAAGAAAAGTCTGAAAATGGAAGATCTCATACTTTTATTTATTTATTTATTTTTTTAAAGCCTGATATGTATTATGTAAAGTGAATTATCGGGATGAAGGGGGCAGTGTTAAAAAGCCATGTATTTGATGTCAGGAGTAAAAAGACAAAGGAGAATATTGCAGTTGGAAGCAAAGTTATTTCTTGATTACTTCCTCTTTCAGCTTGTCAGCCAGATGTTTTCTTTTCTGCAGCTTCTTCTTCTCCTCAGCAGACATCTCCTGTATAAAGAGTCCGGTTCCAACAGATGGTTTAACAGCTCATAGATAATATATTTACTACCAGTGGCTTAAGTCAACATGCTAAGGTAGGGAAAGCAGTGGGCAAGACTACTGAAATACAACCAAGCACACATGTATAAGCTATAAAACTAAAAAGCACCTGGTGTTGTGTATATGGAAATGCTACACCCCTATTTTCAAGGATTTTGAAGTGATTTTAGTTGATTAAATATTTTAAAAAAAAAAGTTTAAGCTCTTCAGTGGGTATAATTTCAATCCACAGAAACAAAGACCTGATTCTCTTCACTTTGTGGCTTTAAATAAGTAATTAATGGAGTAAAAGAGCTCAGACTGCCATCTGGTCCATTTCTATGCTTGACAGAGTAAAAACTGAGACAGAGGGGTAAAGTGTTCCACAACAAGACCAGAGCAACACACTAGGCATTGAGCCCGTGTTCACATCAGGCAGAGGTAGCTGATGGATCACCTTTTGTTTAGAGGAGATAGACTGTTGTGCTGGAGGAGGAGGCAGAGGAGGGGTACAGGCCCCATTCCTCTGGGACTGCCCCATTGCCTCCTGACAGGCCAGACCAGGACAGACAGAGGCAAAGAGAAATGAACAACCCAATAAATAGGTCAGATTAGAATAAAATGTGGGCTGATGAAAATAAAAATGAAAGAACTCAAAGATAAAAAAAAATATATAAAAGTAATACTATGAATATTAATTCAATTTATGTTGTAATGAGGCATAATCCATACATTTCTTTAACACTCAAAGGCACTATCTTCTCACTAGGTGTCCTTCACCTGCAGGAACTGTTTTCAGTTCCCTGTTTGAACAGGTATTCATCGTGCCCAAGTGTCCTACAACAGTCAGGTAGCTGACCTCTGACTTCTCTGTGAAGGAACAAAAGACAGGATGGGAGGAACAGGCTCTATTTACCTTGGAGGTGGTGAATGCCGGTGTGGGGCTGGTGGGTGCCTCCTCTGGAGTGGTTGTCTGCCTGCTTTTCTGCTGTTCTTTCTTCAATGCCTGCAGCTTGTCTCGCTGCTGGCGCAAATACGTCGTCCTCTGCTGGAGCTGCTCCTGCTGAGACACTGACAGCTCCTGGATAGCAGAGGAGGTGAAGGTGAGATAGGGGCACCACACAAACCAGCACAATCAAGTATTTAGAGTTTTGCCCATGAACTATTTTAAAATGCTGAAGATGAAGGTACTGACAAATTTGTCCTCCAAGCTCACTGTTGATGTTTCAGTTCAAAACTTAAAGAAGATAAAAAATAGAAATGTATTTTTTGAGCAACAAAAACAACAATTCTATTTTTAAATGTGTAAAGTAACACTTCTGTGTTTAAGAGGAAAGTCACATTTAGCATGTGCATGACAATCAGCAGAAGAAATCAGACGAAGTGTCTTAGAGATGGTGTAGTTTATGCAGCTGGCTCACACACACTCACAGTATATGGTTTAGAAAAGCCAGCCTCCCTGTGTGCCTCCTCCAGCAACGCCTCAGCTGCAGCCTGGCTGCTGATGGTGGGCTCACTGGACTCCACACTATTACTGCCACAGTCTGTACACATATATTCAGATCAGTTTGGTTCAGTGTTTTAAATGATACAGTTCTATAGAGAAAAAAAAAACTTAAAAGCAATACATATTAAACAATAAGAAAAACTTACCCTAAATACACTTTCATAATTTCAACTTCTACACTTACTACAGACAAACTGGAATTTGTCCTCAATATATTTTCTGTAACCCACATTTTCTTCAGAGGGTGATAGGATTTTGAAAATAAAACCACTAAACCAGCCGGTTATGGAAATAGTTGGAAGTTTGAATAAAATCTAAAGAAGAACAATTGGAGAGCTGTGCTGAAAAATGTGCTGCTCTTCTAAGTTACCTGCTGTGGGTCTAGATGAGGAACTGCTCTCAGCTTCACTTGTCTTATCTCCACCTTCTGAGGCAGCTGTCATCCTCTCTTCTTTTCTGACAGAGTTGCCATTAGCCTGGAAGAAGAGACCCACATGCAATAATACACGAACAGATGAAACAAATTCAACCCAATAATGCTACATACTAATGCTGGAAAGCAGCAGCTACAAGCCACAAACAGTCATAGTACTGTAGACAGTGTACACTGTAGATGGAAAAACAACATTCTCCAACTGATGCACTTGCTCTGTTTTTACTGGTGTATGGCCAGGCATACACTTGATACTTCACAATCTCCTTTGTTTACAGTCCACTAACTCCTCATGTTTTGACAGAGATCCCACACATCTTACTATTTCAGATGCTCTAAAAAGTTACGACTGCTCGGAGCTTTTGGGGCAACACCTTCAACAAACATTTGGGTCTGGTGTTTTGTAATGAAGAAACATATCACCCAGTGCAGCAGTGTGTTTCACTGTTTTTGTCGGTTCAGGGATTGTTGAAAATACAAACACAGGAAATGACCATCCTTATCTTTCAAGCTCTGACTGGTAGCAAAGTGGTCAGGTGAGATCCTGACTGGTGAAACCCTCAGCGTGCGGCTTTAAATGACAATGTTTCACATCAGATTGTTCATAGTGTATAAAATCCAAGTCACCTCACAGACAGCAAATCTATTGATACACCACAAGCAACTCAATTTATAGGCTTTAATACTACAAAGATACTACATGACCTACCTACTAAGCAGTCTATGAAAGTGATGTGCCCTCAGGATGTATTAATACCTAGGTTTTTAATATCACAATAATACCAGTGTACCACAGTCACACGGGTTTCAGAGATCTCTTATTGTTACCGGTTAGCTCGGCCTACCATGCCAAAACTCTAACAAAGGAAACTTAATTTGGTGCCCAGTTTACATTTACCAACTCTTTTCACTCTTTACATTACAGATGGTTGAAAGTGTATTAATGCATCCTTAGATTAGGCATGGCAGTGTATCACTGATTAAAATGTCACTACATAGATGGTTTGGTTACCAGATTATATTCCCTGGCAGTGTTTCCATTCACTAGTGGGGTGTGGTGACCAATTCCGCTGTTGTCACCATTCCCCCCAGGTTTGGCCTTAGCATGAAATAAACAGACCAAGGGAGACAGTGTTGGGTTATAAAGAAGGTATGGGGCTTTAAGGGGGAAAGGGATGTTGCTAACAACCATTAGGCATGTGTAGCATCAGGCACTACATGCAAAAAGTGAAGGTTAGAAAAATTTTGAGCTAAAAAGTCCAACAATGGTTACACACTGATGCTACAGGTTTTACAGATAGAACCCCATTTCTCATACCAGATGTTTCTTCTTGGTGGGGCTTGCACAGAAAGGATCACAAGGTTTATATGAGGTTCCACAGTTCGGCTGGCCCACGTCTTATTTGAGGCTCAGGATGCTTTACCTTTGCTGTGCTGCTTTGTTGCCTGGGAGCAGAGGTGGTATTCTGGGCTTCAACGTAGCCACTGGAGGTGGAACCAACCTCTTCGTCTAATAGCAGCCTCCTGGACATTTCCTCATCATACTCCTGCTTTGACTTTCTGAGGAAAAAGTAGTTTGAGAGTTCAGCACTGGATTTCATTCAGAGCTAAGTTTGTTTGTGACAATAGTGCCTTAGAGCTGAGCAGAGTGCAGCGGGAACTAAAGTATATGATCAGGAGGTGAAGGAAGAAGCTAGCTGCTGCAGCTGTTCACACCTTAGCTATACATTGCCCCTCCTCCCACTGTCACGGAGGGCTCTCAACAGCCTACAGCTCCTGACCAGTCACCACCCATCCGCCCCCTCCGCCTCACGGCGGACCAGGTCAGGAGGGAGTTAAGGAGGATTAAGGCCAGGAAGGCAGTGAATATTATTGTCATTAGCATATGCACATATTATAAGTTTCTTGACACAGATGTACAGTACTAATATCTTATAGGCTTCAGTTACTTTATAATGTTAGACTTTGGTTCTTGTTACCATTGCTAACTCTGAGAGACGAGACAGTCCAAGTAACTTCAAAACAGTGCTGATTTATTCAAAGGATCACAGGTAAAATTAACATTACACACTCAGGCATCTTGCACCTCCAGACTGCACGCAGGCAGATGTAAGATGAAAGACCCTGAACCCACCAGGCCTATACATTATATCACCTCGGTTGGGCTAGCCCCATACTACACAGAAACGTCAACCGAGACGTCTCTGTTGCCAGCTTTGCAGCTGGTCATAGCATTAGTCAAAACATGAAGCAAATCAATGTGAGTGTGTGTCTGTTGAGCGAGTGGTGTGTAGCTAAAAACATTCTCACACGAGTTCTAAAAATACCTAACAATAAGCTTTAGCTTTTTTCATAACTTTAGCTACCTTTCATAACTTTGTTTTCCTTTAGTACTTTTCATACATTTATTTTCCATGCTTATATATATTAAAACTGATTGATGACTGCCAAATTCTACTGAGCTGGAACTTTGGAACTGTGTGCTGTAACTTTGTGGAGACTGTTAGGTATTTTTAGTCAAATAGAAATTGATAGATACTTTATGTATTAGAAATGTTAGTGGAGATAGGATGTCTAGTTAGACTGTTAAATGCTTAGGCATGCTTATAAGTTTCTACAGGGTACTTCTGGTCAAGGATAACTAGAGAGAAAAGTTGATGACTGTCAGCAGACAGGGTGTTTAATATTATTATTACGATGTGTATAACTGTAGCCTTAGCCATAATATGTTCCTATGTTTAAGTCACGACATGTTACTAGAGGTCGTGAGAATGTTTTTAGTTACACACCACTTAACCAACAGACATACACATTCATACGTTGATTTGCTTCATGTTTTGACTACTGTTAGAGCCAGCTGCAAAGCTGGTGAGAGAGATACGTCTCGGTTGACGTTTCTGTGTAGTATGGGAGTTAGCAATGGTAACAAGAACCAAAGACCAACAACTTGGTGCCGTTTGACCCGTGAGCCAGCTGAACTCTTCAGACGACCGGTCCATTTTCCCGAGCAATGGTCCCGGACCAACAGCGGTAATCCTGTGCCAGGCTGAGCTGGAAATCCGATATGCGGTCCTGACTGGTTTCCCTGATGAGAGTGTGACCCCCTGGTTTCAGTCGCAGTTGTGAACAGTCTCACACATCAACGGGCCAGCCAGAAACTATAGGTAAGCGGAACCTTTGGTTTATACATAAACTGTTTTGAAGTTACTTGGACTGTCTCGTCTCTCAGAGTTAGCAATGGTAACAAGAACCAACAGAAATAATAAAGAAACCCTTATATATTCTTCTTCTTGCAGCTGTTCTCGTCAGGGGTTGCCACAGCGAATCATCTGTTTCCACCTAACTCTATCCTCAGCATCCTCTACTATCACTCCAGTTAACTTCATGAAACACTTATAACTAAAATCCTTCTAAGAAAGGACAAGATTTCATCATTTAAAGTTGTGTAATAAAAATAGTAGAAAAAGGTACTTCATCTAAGAAAAGTTTTAGAAAAAGGAAAAAAAATGATTTATTCTTTACCATTTCTGGGAAAGGTTATCTTTTCTTTTCTTTTTTTTCTAAGTTGGTACAAGTAACTTTGTCCCATCATTAATGTTACCATATGTCAATGTTTTTTCTGTTTAATTGTTAGTAACAAGCCAGCTACTTTAATTGTATTTCTGGGTCTGTGGTCTGTAACTCACTTGCTTACTCAAAAGCCAAACGGCTCCAGTAGTCAAACCTAGCCCACTTAACTGGTCCAGATAGTAGTCTTTCACCCTGTACACACCCTAATAAGTGGTACACTAACACATGTTCAGTAAACTGACGTGAAGCAGAGGTTGGCCTATGGCCAATAGGATTAAGATACATGTAAATCCAACCCCTGTGCGGAGCAGTCTCCACCCAAGAAGATAAATGTAACCAGAAACAATGACTCGGGGCTTTTGAGAACAGTTTTCCTGTGGAAACTCTGTCACTGAGAGCCCAGTGCTGTATAGCTTTATCATGTGACCACACTTTGATTAAATTTTCTGTTGACTTTTACACAGTCCTCTTCTGTCTTCCTTTCTTGCGCTTTCAACAAAAGAACTGGGTTTTTCTAACAAAGTGGTCCTGTACATGTTTAATCTGAGTCTTAGCCTGGAGAATGTCTGGGTTCTGTGGAAGACATCCTGTGTGGTCCCGGTTCCTAAAATAACCGAACCATTACAGACCTGTTGCCCTGACCTGTACAATACATCACTGCAGTGATAAGCTAGGTGAAATTATGAGGGACTATGCAATAGTCAACTGAGGTGCAATACTCAAATCTTGGGGGTAAAATGCATTGTAAATATGCACATATGTAAAATCTTGTTCTTGATTTCTCTCCAATACTTTATAATGTCTTGTTTTAGGTATTTTTGAGTAGTTTTTCAGAGAAATACAGGTATTTCCCCCATTGCGGATTAATTATGGGAGTAATATTCTTGTCCTTGATCTCTCTCAAATACTATATCTTGTCTTGTTCTTAGGTATTTTTGATTTGTTCTCAGGGATTAATTGTGGGAGGATCATTCTTGTTCTTGATTATCTCATATACTATATTCTGTCTGGTTTTAGGTACTTGGAATTTGTTTCTCAAGGTATGTGTTTGTTCTTATGGTGTTTTGTTGCTGCTCTCTATTGCTGCTAGAACACAGGAATTTCCCCATTGTGGGATCAATAAAGTCCTGCCTACACACAGATCCTTTAATTTGATCTATTAACCAACTTTAATTGCCTTAGAGGAGACTTCCGCAAAGCATTTAACAGTAGGTACATAGATAGGAAGAGTGTGTGTGTAAGAGGATGAGAAGAGGATGATCTATTGATTCACTTTGCAAAAAGCGGTACAAGATTTGATGAAATCTTGAAACCAATAGCAAAATTAAACTAAGATTATGCCAAAAACGAAAAGAAAACAATATGATGATCAGTCTGTGATGGTGGCTATATGCCTTTTCAACATATAGCTCTAAGTTACTAACTTAATGTATTGACTATATTTAGTCAGTATCCCAGAAGATGACTAGGCGGGAAAGGGAAAATTTGTTTGTAGGAAGTCTCTCCAAGTTGATTTTCACAACATATTGAAATAAACTGAAACCAGTGGTGAGTTGGAAGGGAGGAAATGCAGGACAGTATAGTGATGATAAGAAGCCAGTGTACCCTTGTAAGACAAAAGGGGATAAAAATACTATTTTTCTCAGTGGCTTGTTTAATGTCAATCCTTAAATTAGCTGGACCCCAAGGAGCTTAACTGTAGCCACATTAGACCAGTAGCACAATCCCATTAGTGGGCAGAGGCGGGAGCTTCTAGAAACCCTGGGCACACATGGGCAATTTACACAAAAAGAAAATGAGAACAGTTTAAATAAAAAGCAAATTAAATTAATGGTCAGTAAACAGATGATATATGTCTACTGGCTTAAAGCGCTTTTGTGGACAAAGTTTCCATGTCAAAGTAATGCAATGTAATATGTGACCCAAAATATATAAACTGAAAAAAAAAAATCTTCAGTGTGGGAAGTTGTTGCATATACAATGATATAAATATATTTGTCAGCTTCATAAAAGGTGGAAAGACCAAAACAAGACCCACATTTTAAATAAACACTGTTAATGACTACAATCCTAAACAGTTGAGTACAAGAAAGAAAGAACAAATGACTTACTTGAGAACTTCCTGCAGGATTTTCATCTCTTGCTGCTGCAACTCGGTCATCACGTCCATACCATCAGTCAGACACTCTGGGAGGGTCCCTACACACACAGGATATATTACTTGCAGCTAGTCTTTTCCTGTTTGTAAGCATGTGTTTGGGCCCATGAATGTCTTAATGCAGCCTACCATTTCTTTCTTTAATGACCCTGAGGGCTTGAAGCTGCAGCTCCATGTTCTTCTGGACCATCAGGGAGCGAAACATCTGGAAGTCATCTGTAGCCAGAACTGGCTGGAACACTGACTGAACAACAAAATCATCCACTACATAAAAGTATAAGACTATGACAAGTCCCTGTACCCATCCTCACTTTATTTGTAGTGGCTAAAACATTTGCAGTTATACGTCACAAACTGGATTCTCATTTTGCCGATTCATCAGAAAGGCCCGTTACCTTTGGCACCAGGTAAATAGCAACATAATGAGGATTATGTAATCAAATCCGATCCTTAATTCTCCATTCAGGTTACCTGACAGGCTGACAGTGATGTGCCAATAGGGAGCTTAAAATACCTGTAGAGTTTTGGACTTGGCAAAAGGAGAGCTGCATGCATCCAGAAACTGCTGCTCATTGATGCCAACCTCCTGCATGTAATTCTCTAACAACTTCTCCACCTAGGAAAGCAAAGCAGCTTACATCATTTTACTTTAATGAGTCAGCAATATAAACCACTACTGAATATTGTGACGGAGCAATAATTGCAAACAGGACACTTTGCAAAAATGTACATCTTTTAGTTACCATATATTGGATCAAATATTGTACTCACCAACTTCTTATACTGCTGATGGATTTCTGTGTATGCCAACTTATTTTCATCTTCGTCATCAAAAACTGAAAAGGCAAAATTAATACCCCTCAAATGCAAATAATTTAGCATTTATACTGTGTCCAAAGGAGTCAAACACCTCATAAATTCATCTTTATTTACCTAGCACTGCCTCTGGGTGTTCTGTAGGGGTAATTATCCACAAAATGTTGATATACACGGCCTGTTTGGCAGTTAGCCACTGTTTCTATCCTGTTAGTTTGCTGAGGCCAGTTTCACTGTAGTATGAATTGCTTGTCTTATACTCATCTGTGTCATTTTGATTAAATGTCGAAACACATGAAGTGAAATTCTGATTAACTCATAACAGAGACATGTATTATGCCACGGATTGAGTTATCAGGCGAAAAAACACACAACTCAGTCACAAGTTAACGGTAGCCTAGCCTCTATGCTAACGCTGCACAGCTCCTGAAAAGATTTACTGTGTGGTCAAATGCCCAAGACTGGACATAACTAATAACAGGTTTTACCTGTGCATTTGTTTTCCATAAAGTCCGTGACAGGAATGACCCATTCGGGACTTCCTAGGTAGCCAACGATGCTTTCTATAACCCAATCACTATCATCCTCAGCCATGTTGGCTACTGCTGCGTAACGCTAACAGCACCCACACAGTGATGTTCTTCGGCTTGGCACTTCCAGCTCCGCTACAGCACGAAAACACACAACCCAAAACGATGAGAAAAGACATCTGGGTTATTGCCTTTCATAAAATAATCCCCTCTGCGCGACACACAGGAGCTGTTCTTCCGCTGAAGACACAAGACGGCCTCCCAGAAGAAGTGCGCACTCATGAATTTGCAGGTGAGACTGGTGACGCCTAATCGGTTGCTGAGGTAACCGTGACGCCACCATCTCCCCTCCCCTCTTTTCTTCTTCTTTTGCGTTTTTTAACGGTAGTTGTATTGCTGCCAGTTTTCGATGTGTATCAGTTGAATAATGTATTTATGTCCTTTTATCTAACCCCATATGTTTACTATTTTTAAATAGACATTTGAAGCCTCTCCCTTAAGAGCGTTAGAAGGACACCTGTAAATGTTCCAGAGAGTGGATCTACTGATATTTATGGGGACGGGGGGCTTTAAACACTGGAGCCTACATGCAAATGCTTTAGGTACAAAAAGTAAAGTGAGAATTCCTTTAAGGACAATGCAGTGCAACACATTGCAAAATGATAGATAGATGGATAGATAGAATCTCATTTATTGTAAATTCATAATGACAAATGTATGAAAAGCTGGACAGTGTGGTGAAGCATAGCAGATCATAATAGAGCATTATGGGTCAGAGTGGATTGGTTAGGAGTTTCATGCTACTCCTTAAGTTACATATTGAAGCTTTAATTGAGAAAACAGTTGATGAATTTTGAAAGATGTGGTCACTGAATGCAGGAAACTATACAGTTGGCACTCTGTAACATGAATCCTGTATAGGTGTAATGTAATAGGTGGATTAAAGTTTGAGGTAAGCCACCTTACTTAAATTGACAGCCTTTGTGTTAAGGAAAACCAAGTCACTTATCCATAAACACACATAAACCCACAGGCATTCACCTGCAGAAACAAACATTAGGAGTACTTGTTTTTTTATTTTTTATTAAGAGTAAAAAGGTAGTGATCAGATAATTCAATAATGTGCATTAACTAGGAAATCCAATAAATATACATTCATTCTGTATTTCTGTAAGACATATAAGATTTCATTATCATCATCTCGAGAAAGGCTCATAGCTACTGTGCACTGTTCATAAAGGTAGGGCATGCAAGCAGCAGTCATGCTGAAAAAATTCAACAGAATAAAGGTAGGCGACATTTAAAAAGCTTTTACAGTGAGCATCAATCTATTTAACTTTGCAGCTCCCTAAACCAAACTACTTGTAATTCTGAAAAACAATCTTTCACAAAGTATTCAGTGAAAATTGCTCATTTTCTCACTAGAGAGGTGGAGACAGAGACTGTGCACAACAGGTCATGCAGAAACATTCCTGGGTTTTGTTTTTTGTTTTTTTTGCTTGCATTTTCTAATTTGCATGTAACAGACTGTAAACAGTTGCTAATTTCAAACCTTGGCATTGTTCTGTTTCCAGATGTCTCTGCTGAAAATGTGCCATTAAACTGTTTTTCACAGTCAACATACAAGTAAACAAGAAATATGTGGTTACAGGGTGCATCCACAGCATTCCTGTGACAATCATATGTATTAGCAGCATAAAGCAATGAATCTGACTCAATAACAGCTGTCAGATTAATAGCAGTACAGTGTGCTGACATAGTGCTTTACAGGTAAATATGTGAACATCATTACTGAGATAATGCTGTTCAGGTTCTTTTTTTCTGTGCATAAAGAAATGGTTCTACAAGTGCAAATGAAGTTGTGTCTGCTTCATACAAGTGTTGGAGTCAAATAAGAGTTATGAAATGGATGAGTTAGGGCGGACACAGCAGCAAGTGAAAGGTTAGTTTTTTTTTTTTGTTTTTGTTTTTTTGCATGTTAGAATTAAACATACCTTACTCTTGTTTTATCCTTTGCAATATACTATGAGTGCAAAATGTGTGAATATCCTTCTGATCACCTGATATTAAGAAATAGTAGCTATCAATGTAATTTCAATTCAAACAAATTATCATGTCATTATCATCATTTTGCTGTGAGAAGAAATATCCTTTCTTGTGGCGTCCTCTAGATGGCAGAAATCATCCATCATGACCAGATTACAATTGTCAAGTGTTTTGCACCTTAACACTGTTACCAATTCAGCTGCAGGTATTTTTGTACATACAGTAAAAGAAACACATCTGTATTGTGGTTTACATTTGACCTGTAGTACAAACAGAACAGGCACAAATACCGAGTACATAAAAGCCCTGAAAACCAAAACCCAGGTGTTATTATTTTAGGGCTATTATTTGACTGAGCTGTCAATCAAATGCTAGAAAAATGTTTTAAAAAATTTCCATCACAACATCTAAAGGCTCATATTGACATGTTCAACCATGAGTCCAAAACCCTCAAAATATATATTTTAATTTCATAAAAGTAATTAGAACCTGTGATATTTTTGGCATTTTATACTTAAAAATAACAGTTAATTATCAGAATAGTTGCCAAGTATTTGTTTGTTGATCGATTAATTGATTAATCAACTTTTGCTTCAGCTTTATTTTAGCACAATGACATAATTCTCTCTGATCACAGCTAAGCTCGCTATGTATTGTGACTGTAATAGGTCCAGTTTATCAGCAGAGTAAAATTATTCCAATGTTACTAAATGAATTCAGACACTGATATTGCTGCTTTCACATTAAAACACTGACCATAACATGCTGTAAATTATTGAAGACCTCACTTTCTAGCTCTCTGTTTCAATGTTTTCCCCATTTCCTTGATCAATGGCTTTGGGAAGTAAAAAGAAAAGTTTCTATATTGTAAGGCCACAAGCATTGTTACAAAAAATTGCAAAGAATATGCAAAGGTCTCAAATCTACATGCAGTAATTCAAAATGCAAATGAAAGTTGCTTCAAGCTTTGAGTCAAGGGTAAATTTGTTGTTCTTCATTAACAATCGTGTAGTTATAGCTTTGACTCCACATGGTAAAGGGATTGTATGCATAACACTTCAGGCCACTGTGTTCTTGAGGTTAAACTGCAGCTACTGCAACTATCAAGCTCTTAAAAATTCATAGTATTGATCTTGTTGACAGCAGAGACCCTCTGGCCTCTCCTCCTGAAAGCTCTACATCACATATGAAAGGATACTATACACATATCCTTCCAGTACAGTCAAAATTACCTATAAGCACCCTATGAATATAATGAAGGCTGTAGTTTTCTAATGGCCATAGGACATTTAAAGTTGTGTAATAAAAACAGTAGAAAAGGTGCTTCATCTAATTCAATTATGCCCTCCATTTTAATACACACCATGCTGCTGTGGATAAATACATGTTGCCTCAAGGCTTAGATTATTTGACTGATATCTGTACGATGTGTGGTATTGAGAATAAAATATAGAATGGTGGACATGATTTGAGCCTTGATTCCTCAACTGTGGCTCAGTCGATTTTCATTACAGGCTAGATGGCAACAATCTGTTTTAGCAATGACTAAGGAAAATTACTCAACTAAAATACTAAAAATCCTTTACAGGGATCTGTTTTAATAAATATAAGTCCAAAATATGTTTAAATACTAAACATTTTAACAAAAAAAAAAAAGCACTAATCGTGTTCATCCCAAATATTTAGCAGAGCCCAATATGTAACCAGATGAACATGCTGTCTATTAAACTGATGACTAGTAGCAGTTATAAATAATATCTGAATGCACAGTAACTTAATGTTGGAGATACACAAACTACACAAAACCAGGGTATCCATTACCAATACGAGTACAGGGGCAATGAAAGGTCCACAGCATGTAAAACTGGAGTGCATCTTGAATGCTACATGTAGCTAGTGTAGCTCCACCTGCATTGCTTCACATCTCTGCATGGGCATGTAGGTGTCTTCCCCCCTTTTAAAGGGTGATAAATGATGACTGACACAAACAGCTTAAGTAACATACAATATTCAGGCAATCAGTTTTCACCCATTTCTTTTGCTTGAGAGAACTCAGCATGGACAGAAAAAAAATTAAACAAGATGCAAGGTTATAAATTATGACAGAGTATTAACCAGTCTTTCTTCTAAATCAAAATGTTTTGGTTTTCTTGTGCCAGACTGCACAGGAGCCTCTACTTCCCTTCCTGAGTTCTTCATGTACTTTTTCAAGTGCTGCAAACCATATATTATTTAAATCTTCAACGTTTTTTGTTTTCTACAAAATGACAATATTAAAATGCTACAAAGACCAAGGACATCCATTGTCAGTGGAAGAGAGCGGGTCTCCAAACATCATTCAGTGAGAGGGAACCCAACATGCATTGTGGTCACAGAGGTTTGTTGAAAATCTCTCTGCTGCCACTGCTTTCAGCCAACTGACTGGGTGGATCCATTGGGTTGTTATCATTCTTATCTAGGATTTGAACCTGTCTGGACTCAAGATGACTCATTTTGACTAGTTCCCTTTCTTGGCAGCTGTCTATACTTGGCACCAGTCCGTTTGCCAGGTCTTGGTGGTTATTTTTACTTAGTCTGGCATCATGGGGCCTTATTTTAAGTTGTGTCTGTCTGTCGCTTTTGTGAGTGTTTTTCATTGGTGCAGGTCTATTATCATGCTGGGCTGTTCTGAGAGGCACTGGTCCATTGCAAACAGGGATCTTATTAGGCTGCACAGAAAGGGCGTAACGTGAAAACCAGTCCCTCTCAAACACAGCTCGTAACTGTTCCACCACTGTGGAGTTCCTCTCATCGATGCCCTCTGGTTGACTAATCACTAGGCCTGCTCCTGCGTTAAAGGTAAACTCATTTCCCACCCAGTCAAGGTTACCTGTCAGGACACAAAGGAAGAAACAAAACAGTGAACAGACTGTATCAAAAATATCTTCATCTCAAACAAAAACTCCATGCAAAGATGAACAAAGAGCAAGCAGAATTTTCTAAGACCATTCTGCTGTCTGAAGTACCCTGTTTTCAATTTCCAGGAAAGATTACTTTTTTTTTTTTTTTTTTTTTAGAAATCATTAACCATTTTGGAATACTGTCTTATTTTCCTTCTTTCTGAGAGGTAGGTGAGAACTTCAATACCTCTTCCATGTTTTTGCATCAAGTACAAAGTTGGAAACAAGATGCAATTAGCTTGGCTTAGCATAAAAACTAGAAGCAAGGGGAAACAGTTGGCCTGACTCAGAAGTTCAACTAATGGCCTGCTGGCACCTCTAAAGTAACATGTATTAATTAACATTTTTATTAACTCTATTTGTAGTTTGGCTTGCTGAACAACAACTGGAGGCAGAGTAGATGGGGAAAACTTAAAGAATCATTCAGTTTTCTCTGAAACCACAAATTGTTGATGTTACATGTAGGCTATCTTATAACTCTGGGGAGGGCTGGGTTAGCCATTTCCTCCTGCTTCCAGTCTTTATGTTATGCTCGGCTAACATCTTCCCAGATCTAGTGGCATGGTAATGAACAAACTTGAGGGTGGTATTGATCTGTGAAAACAAAACAAATTATTGTACTTTACAGAACGCTGACTTATTCCTCGCAGCCCACTGAAAGTAAGATTTGCATGAAGTGAATAAAGCTTATAGTCAGTGAACTCACCTAAATAAATGGCTCTGTCTGTGACCATAAACCTGTTGTGGTTTATTCCCTGAAGACTTGGCACCCTGAAGAACTTCTACACACACACACACACACACACACACACACTCTCAGTGGTGTAGTGAACACTGATAAAGTGTATCAGTACAAGTGAAAAAGGTATATGTAGTGGCCTTGTACTTACAGCTTCTAGTGAGCAGTTTGCTTGCTCCATACATAGACTCTTCAGGGACCAGATGAAGTTAAAAGTAAGGGGATGAGTGTTTTCCCAGCAACTTATCAGCAGACGAACCCGCACCTTCCTCAGGATCAGAGCCTCTCGGATAAGATCATCGATACGAGACCAGTACCTTGGCACAGATACAGTCACACACAAAGTGGACACGCGGCCATATGGACAAGCATGCATGCATACACAGAGGTTAATCACTTGAATCAAAGCAAGGCCTTAGAGCTTTAAATGATTCCAAAGACAGCAATTCCTCCTCTGCCAGGATGGTTCTAACCTCTGGGCACTGCTGCCGAGAACAGGCAGGTAATCAACGATGGAGATGTATATGAAATGGTGAGCCTCCTGGATGACCCTGGAAATGGCTTCCAGATCACTGCTACGATCTCCGGGGCTGAAAACATCTGGAGAGCTCTGTCAGAGGAAAAAAAGACAGCAAAGACAAGCAGGAAGTGTAGCGTAACAATCATTCACACTGGCATCATCATCATAACAAACCAACTCAGTTCTCATTATAGTTATTGTGCATTTAAAAGAATCAAATAAGACAATGAAATCATTGTCTTATTTGTTTCATGTATGTATGTGTAACTGTGCATTTCCTATATGTGTGTAATAACTGCCATTAGAAAGCAACTTCAATTTGAAAAGTGAATGTACCCTGTGAGCATGTACTGGTGTGTGCTTTGTGTTGATAATCATGTGGAGATGGACAGCCAAGCCCAAATCAACTGTTTTCTTCTGCAGGTGGGATGACATCTCCATCACTCATCTCCACAAAGAAGATAACACTGAAAGACATCGAGTCCCACGGAGACATTTTGTATGAAAAACTGACTCTTTAACTCTCAATAGCTGTCACCCCCACAGGAGATGGTTGCTACACTTGACTGCACTGTACATATTCTTCACATTTTAAAAACATTTGCCTAATTTCGGATATGTATTGTAACCCGTTTCGGATAGACATTTCCCACATTTGTACTAGTCATAATGAAGGCTCAAAGTGAACCTGAAAACATTCACAGAGACCCTACACAGCTATCCAGGGTGGACCCCGCCTCTCACCCAATGTCAGCTGGGATAGGCTGCAACCCCCTGAACCTATTCAGGAATAAGCAGTATAGATAATGGATGACTGTGTACACATTACACCTGATTGGCATCTCCCTCAGTCTTTATGCCTGCTAAGGTGAAATAAACGACAACGTACCCCTCCCAACTTCAAACTGAGTTGAGGTCTAACAGCATAGTCTGTTCAAACACCCCATTTCAAATGAAATGGCACCTAATCACATGAGACACCACTTAACTGTAATAGTATTCTTCTGAGTGCAAGTAATGGAAAGTGAATGTTATTGTCTTTTGACCACAAACACTAACCACTGTTTGCAGGGGAATCAAGAAAGTGACAGATGGCTCATATTTTAAAATCATTTACTGTAAACATTACTTTAAATAAATGTCCCCACTTTTGGAATTTAACTTTCACATCTCTCTAAATTTAACTTATTTCACCAGGGATGGTCTTTGAGGTTTAAAACCTCTTTCCCAAGAGAGCCCTGACAGCATTAAAGATAGAGACAGGGATAAAACTCTTATGCTACATTAACATTCCAACCAGAAGTGATTCAGATGTGTAAACAAACCAAATCAATTTTTTTCACATTGAATCTGGGCCACTTCCATAAGTTGTCCTACATCCAAACATGTCACTAAACATAAGGAAATCACACAATTTGAGAGTTACACACATTACATTGTTGTACGTATTCACATTTAAGTTAAATCTATGCATGTGTGGCAGTTAAGGACCCCAGCCATGTTCAAATTGGAGCTGGATGCATGCCACAAACAGGAATGTGAAACATCAACACAATAAATCAGATTTCTACATTAAAGCTTGTAATGCAATGTAGCCTTCCTTACAAACCTAGTACTTGTGCAGTTAATATGAATACTTTCTAAATTATTGGTTAGCACTGTCACTTACAGAGACATAGGCCTGAGTCTTGGTGTTGTTGAGAGTGAGGTTCAGTGGTTTGTCCCTGTTGAAGAGTGACAAGATGCGCTTGGACCAGAAGGTGGGGATGAATTCTTTATCATGGAGCCCCCAGTAGAGACTGAACACCCTGTGGAGGTCCAGAGCCAGGCAGCTGCAGTTGTACACCAACACACCCAGTTCCTTCCTCTGAAGAATAAACAAAGCCCCTGTTAGACTACCACAATGAAGGACTATGTACAATATGTGTGTTTGTCTGTTTTCTGTGATGTGTTTTTGATACTGTGGTCAGGGATCTCCAGTCCATGCTGGCACTGCCGATGTAGAAATGTCTCCTGTCGACCACCCAGAAGGAGGAGTGGAGGTGGCCTTTGGTCAGTGCTGTTGTGTTCACATAGTGGACCTCAGCATCTAGAGGTAAACAAAAGAGAAAATGTCAAAAGGCAGCAAGAAAAAGAAAAGAAAAACTGAAATTAAGGAAGATGCATGTAGGACAAGAGTATGAATAAAACCAGATCTGGCTACAGACAAACAGGACTAACAAGAAAATGATACACAAAGACAGATGAAAGATGGAAAAAGAGTGAAGGAGTTGATCAGGTTGATCAGGACAAATAGGGACGAGAACAGTCAACAAACTAAACAGACAGAGCAAAGCTGCAGCATGTTTGGACAGAAACAGATACAGTGAATGTACAATATTATACAGAGAGAGTGAGAGCTGACTGTGTCTGGCAAGCATCCTGAGCTCAGTTGAGTTGATCATCTCGCTGGAGATCTTCAGCTGGATTCCTTCAGCTTTCAGCCCCTGGAGCCTGAAAAGCAGACCCCTACCCTGGGGAAAACACACCAACAAATCACTGCGGTTACAGGAAATTCATGCACTGTTGGGAGGACAAGCTTCTTGTTTAGTTTTTGGATTTTCTTTACTATTGTGGCAACATCTGCTGTCATTTATGTGCTACATTTCCCTGAAATCCTTTGTCTACAGCCAGCAACTGTTTATGTTTGCTGGACTTTGTTTTGATCCCACAAGCACTCTCAATGCACCACCTTCTGAATACATCTTGAATGGAGGGATGTTTGCATCTACAGATGTCCTGGGGTACCTGCACTACCCTCTGCTGTCTCTGTGGCAGAGGGCTGTACAATTCCCATACCAGATGGTGGTGCATTCAGTGAAGATGCTTTTGGTTGTGCCCCTGTAGAAAGTCTGTAAAATGTTGTGGTTTATGCACATTCCTGAGCTTGTAATTTTTCCAAATGACAGTTCTACATTTGGTGATAATCGTGACTTTATGCTGAAAATATAAAATTAGAGATGAGTCACCAAATACTGAGCAAAAGTGGAGTGAAGCCAGATACCAATTAATATCTTTGCAGATAGCAACCACTTTCATGTAGTGACATGTGAGGGAAGCTCATTGACTTGCACAGCACTCTTCAGGAAACTCATGCGGCAAAGTCTTTGGAATTCCTTTTTTTTGTGTGATTTCAGGTGATATAGCTGGCATTGCCCTATTTAAACACTTGTAAGTGAGACAAAATTAACTATAGCTGAACTTTTGGCTGTAGGTTCACAAAAATGTCCTGATTATGAGGACTCAAAAAGACAAGCAGTGCACATGCCTGCTTCAAGAGCATCTCCACTTCCAGCACGTGTACCTTTGTCCTTACATTTTTTTTTGTTTTTCGGCAGGTTCAACAGGATGCATTACTAGCTTCCCAGAGCAGTGCATCAACAGAACAACAAACAACCCCTGCAGTCACCAAACCCACAAATGTCAAGACTCATGGTCAAACTATGTTTGTTCTTAATGCCAAGTGAAATAACCACAAAAAAACTGACTAGAAAGTGCCAAAACTCTGGACAAAATGTCAAACATGATAGTAATATCAGTAATGTTAGACATGAATGTGGGATCTTGGTCGCATTGTTGTTTGTGCTTTTACTTCTGAAAGGATCGAAATACTTCTTTCACATCTGATTATAATGTAGAGGAGACAAATAGGCCAAATTCACACAAAGACACAGAAGAGGAGACAAATTTTAAATAAAAATCATGACTTTTAGAATCAAGACTGGTGGCTTGCTCAGGTTTTACCTGTCTGGCAGCAAGCTGGAAGCTGGAGTCATAACCGGAGTAGTTGAGGACCCACCATGGAGAAACTATCTCCACGGACCGGACAGCTTGGTCCAACAAGTGGTGCAGTCCTGCTGAGAGAGGGAGGTGGGATGTGCTATTGTCGAAGGAGATGTCATCTGGGATGTTCTCCATAAGCACTATTCTGTAGAAAACAGCAAGAAACCAGAGTAAAGGAGCAACACAGTGATGCAACAGATCTGCTGCCAGAAGCCATCATGAGACATTTCAACAAAATGAGAAGAAGAAATGAATATGAGCTTCATGGTGTTTCACAAAGCAATTATCTGTTTGCATTAGTGGCATAATTATGAAATTTAGTGGGACTAAAATTAGGCTATATTCCTTCTCTCCTCAATTAAGACCACTGAATGTGTAATTAGCTAACAGCTCCCTTCTTCCTTGTTTTCTGGATCATTAACTTCATGAGAGAAATCAAAATTTTCAGACCAGATCACACTTTCCATTGAAATTCATCAAATCTCATTAAATCAGCTGTACATGTTGCCTCTGGCAGCGGCTGAGAAAACTGAAGACTGATGAGCAGAGCTGTCAGCAATGCACATTCAGTTGCAGCTAGTCAGGGGAAAACACTCATTTTGTTGTATTCCTGGTGGTTTTCCACATACTCCGCTCTGTATACTATCACATGGTTCAGTGTAAAATCACCAGTCTAAAGTAATATTTTGTAGTTGCAGCATAATGAAATCTTATACAAAGGCAATACAAATCAACTCTTATGTCAAACTCAGTGAGCTGCATGAAACACAAAACAGCTATATCCCTGAGCTTATCTGCTTAAGATTCAGTGCAGTCAGGTATTCCTCTATCATCAAACTATGCCTTCAAGTTGAAAGTTAAATGATGTAGGGAATGCTCTCAGGAATAATTGTTTTACATTTAAATTTTTTCTGTACATCACTGAATATCCCAGCACTTTTTGCCAAGCTGTGATGTCAAGTTATGTTGCTAACTATGACTCTCAGCTCTCCCTAATGTATCTCTAGGTCCCATTTTATCCCACCAGGATGTTGGGGGGGACAAAACACAGGGGCATTAGCGCTGGAGTCAACCGATTGAATTAGCCCTGGCAGTCCCAGTTCTGCAGCCACGCAGAACCAGGCTATTATCAAGCTCCAATGCACACAACATTCTCTCTGTCTGGCTTACATTCATTTCCACCAGTAGAATTTTAAGAGGGAAATACTGTATAAAGGGGGAGAAGGAACTGGACATGTGTTAACTGCTCAGATAGTTGATTAGGTCTTTGCCTACAATCCTTCCAAGAAACAAGCAGAACCTCTCCTTCAAAATATTTTTAACTTAGTTCCACTTCAGAGGTTAAATTATATTAAGAAGTGTTATGGTATACACTGCACACTACACTGGCCATATTGACAAAATGTCTATTTGTACATCCACTAAATGATGCTGCAAAATCATTTATTTTGAGTCATGTACAACAAATGTAAGTTCAACAACTTATTTCGATTCTGGGTTGGTCTGCGCCAACTCCTGAGGGAAATAATCGTGTCTCCAGCTGCTAAACGCTCCACTGTGTTCACCAGCTACTGTGTTATCTGCACCCCTTTGCTGAAAACATCTGCTGCCTGCTTGCTGAGCTGTGTGATCGTTCTCTGCGAGTCCATCATTTTATATGATACCTATCGCATTACTGTCGTCATTTCATCCACTGTTGATATAACAGTATTGATTAAGGCAGCTCCTGCAGCAGTGTAGATTGTTTTTTTTTTTTTTTATTATACTTGTGTATTGATTGTTCCCTAAAAAATGTATTTATGATAAATTATCAAGTTGCATATGAGGCTGAAAACGTGAGCTCACTGTACGGTGTATGTTCTTGATCAAGTTAGCAGTGGTGGAAGAAGTACTCTAATCACTTATTTAAGTAAAAGATCCACGGTGTAAACACTCTACAAGTAAAAGGCCCGTGTTCAAAAAGTTACTCAAGTATTAGCATCAAAAAGTACTAAAAACACTCATTATGGAAAATGGCATAATATATTTGGATTGGAATTACTGATGCATTATTGTGTTCCTCACTTTAATGTTACAGCTGGTAAAGGGGGAACTAGTTTAATTTTACTGGCTTACAATTTGGAATTACTGTTGGGTAACAAGTGAATTTTCCACAACAGATCAGTAAAGTCTTATTATACAGTTTTTAATTTTAAATAAATCTCTTTCTGAAAAGTAACCAGTAGCTAAACATAAATTAAATGTAGACTAAAACTTGCAATATTTACCTCTAAAGTGATAGTGCTTACTTATCCAAACTTTTAGCTGTGAAACCTAGGGTTCTGCGATACCAGACAACTCTTGGGACTGAGCCCAGTCCGAGCATATGGTCAGCCAAGGTGTGACAACTTGGGGTCCATCGAGGGCGCCATTCAAGGGCACTCAGGCCTGAGCATGTGATAATGTTCTGGCTTCACACCGAGAGGCAGGTTGCCAACTCACAATTTGAAAAGGTATTCCTGACTAAAGTCAAGTTAGTAATTTGGAAAGTGGCCAAGGGTCAAACTGACTCTTCCCCTCTGATCATAACATGCCAATTTCTGCTACTAGAAATGCCAATCAAAATGTTTAGTACAGTTCGGGAGAATCACAAGTAAACATGGTTCATGTTACTGACAGTTTTATTGAACACCGAGTACAATGAAAAAGCACAAGGAGCCAATAGCGTGCTGTAATGAAATTATACAGAAGATTGTAACAAGATGCAGAATATCATTCTTTGATCTGAAAAGACAGCAAAACTAGAACAACTACAGTCAACTCCCCATAGTGAGGGAAAATAAATTGAAGAGGAGAAGGGGTAATCAACTTCTGAGAGATATCCTGTCAGTCCAGTTTAACAGCTGCAAGTTATGATGAATGGTGATGCTGAGTAGTTTAAGCAGCCAGACAGGGCTATGGGATTAAAAGGTGGAAAACACAGAGGTTGTTACTGCATGCATTGATTTATGCAATCTGTGGTGTGCACTGCAACCTGTATGTGTGCTCAAGGGTGCAATTCAGCCCCAGTATCCAATACCTAAGTGGTGAAAACATCACTGTGCATGAGACTATAAATGCATGAGACACCGAGACAGACAATGTGTCTGAACGTGAAATCCCTCAGGGCCTTTTCTGAATCATAAAGGATTCTCTCAGAGCCAGTATATTTTCTAAAAACTATATTTTACTCCAAAAAAAAAAAATTCATATTTCACATTACTGAGCTGTGCAAGTCTATATACTAAAAGTGAACACTATATCAAATTGCTACAAAAGATGTTTTGTGTAATAATACTATTTACATGCAAATGCTTATGATACAATGTGCCCGCTATAGCACAAAGCAGTAACAGCATGGGATCATGATGGAAAACTGCAGTATGACAGAAGCAGCTCCTGACATCTGATATAAATTATCCAGCGTCTCATGAGCCGTGCTGAGCAGGGACATTAATATGGGTATCATGGGAGCTGCTGCTGACCTGCACCCAGTATGCTGTTCATTTTTAAAGTACATTTTATGTCCACCATTTCATCATGGAAACCAAAAACGCAGTTGCCATTGTAGATGAATACCAGTCTGCTTATTAGCTGTCTCATACCAGGCAATTACACATTTACACCAGGGATATCAGACTTGTACTGGATAGACGTATGCGAGGTTATAAAGTGCTCCCATTTTACTAGAAACAAAGCAACAGTCTTGTAATCATATTTTACTCTAATCACTGCTGAAGTTCATTCTCAGAGGGGAAAAATATATCAAATTAATGTGTTTGGTTCCCAGACAAATACATAAACAATGAGAACTGGGAGATTTTTTTTCTATGCAGATGCAGAGTAGGAGCATCTCATATCTCGTCGTCGAAACGCAGGCATTAACAAAACACATACAAAAGAGCTGCTGAGTCAGTAGTTGGACAACCAATTGGCCCTTAAAGTTTCCTTCTGTGAGAGCAATGGCTCCAAAAACAATCTGCTGTAATTAGATTATTCAGTAGGAAATGTTATGGATTCACTTGGTGTAAACATGGCTGAAAGAGCTTCACATCCATTTCCTTTGATAAATGACATTTACCTTTGGGAATTTGACTACGAGCATGAGCAAGCCCCAGTGCACCCCATTATACCAGGCTATCACTTTTCCCATTTTGCAGTAGAGCTTGCTTTGAGCAAAATACATTATGAAATTATTAATCATGTTGCACTTGTACAGCATATAGGTCTTTCAAAAGATGCATGGTACAATAAAACTTGAACATTAAGTTTATGGGACAAATAGTGTCAAATCTGACAGATTGTCATGTCATGAAGTGACAAGGCCCCAGTGATTCCTGACAGGAAGCCAATAACAGCTGATGAATCTGTTCCAACCCCAAATCTACCCTGACAGCCTCCTTTTCCTCCTCTTTCCATTCCACTCACCCCCAGTCCCCATTACTCCCATATGCCTGCATTAGCCTCCGATTCGACCTCCAGGCTTTAGGGGCCCTTCAGAGAAGGAGACAAGTCCAATTCAGCTTTAGAAGTCAGGATTACACTTCCAACTCTTAGCAGGGGAGAGAGATGCCTGATAGAGGTTGCTGGAAGGGTGTTAAGTGGCTCATTTGAGAAAGGAGAAGGAGCGAGTAGATGAACACTGAAAGAAAGAGAGGGAAGTAATTCAAGGCTGAATGGTACGAGTGTAATAGAGGGGAACCAGTAGGAGGTGGAAAGTAGGAGAACAGGGTTTGCTGTATCAGCCAAATGACTGCTGATCAGCCAGTTTCACTCTGGACTACTAGGACTTAATGCAATGGTTTTCATCCACATTCTTAAAATCAGATTGTAGAAACTTGCTAAAGTCGAGTATAAAGTAACTTTCAAAACAGCCTGGAAATTATTGGGGAGACTAAAGTTTGAATAAATCTGATATGTATTGGTGCTACCTTGTCATTACTTTTCAGTAAACTCCCTCTAAATGAATGGCTATTATTGGGGAGACTAAAGTTTGAATAAATCTGATATGTATTGGTGCTACCTTGTCATTACTTTTCAGTAAACTCCCTCTAAATGAATGGCTACAGGGTTAAAAAAAAAAAAAAAAAAAAAAAAATTGCACACAAAGCAAGGCCAAGACAAAACGGGCTTATTTCAGACAAGCTACAACAGCATAAACTAGAGGCTCTAATTCATAACCATAGTCTAAAGACTTAGAATTAATGTTCTTACACTACAGTGCTACTGTACACATTCTAACTCAAATGAATTCTCAGTTGCTTCTCACGTATGCTGTGTGTCCTGGAAGATAGTCATTTTGAATCAGCCCAATTTACTAAAAGTTAGAAAATTAGGCAAGACTGTTTCACATGACTTCTATTGTACCATTCAAATAGCTGTGAGAATAGATGCAATGGGATGTGTTCGACAAAAAGACATTTCATCTTGTGGTAGGAAGCCCTTTTACCTAATGTGATATATTGAGAGGTTCCTAGCCTACAAAAAGTTCATTTTTAACTTTTCATGTTTTGCCTTTTCCTGATGAAACACTGAATACTTTCTCATGATACCGTTATAAATATGTACATAAAGGCCATAACTTGTGATGGTCACAAGGCAAATAGTTTAGAAACCACTAGTTCTCACCTGCAGTCCTTGCTGCAGTTCTCTTCTGTGATCCCGTCTTCATCTTCTCCCCAAACGTCCACAGCAGAGAAAATCAGTGCCACCAGTACAGCAAAGCAGCAAACCAAGGCAAATATCACAATGCACTTCTGCTGAGACTGCAAGAAAGAAAAAAACAGCACTGGTTTTTAAAGTGTTTTTTACTCTTCAACACTGCTGTAAGAACAAGGCTAAAGTGCCCCGGCCTTGGTCCCATTAGCTGGCTGCTCTGGCTGACGCATCACCCGACTTCCTGGACACTTCAGCAGGTCAGAACATTAGAAGGGAATTTAACATAGGTTTACAAATGACCTCACAATTTCATGGTTTTATATAAAGAACATGAATCAGGAATGAGAAGAGCTATAATCATTATTATATTCTCTTTATAAATCAGAATTTAATACAACATTGAATTCCATGGGAAAGTATATCCATCCTTTTGACTTGTTATGTATATAGTATTTATTCCATTAGATTAAAGTTTAATTACATGTATACTGGAACTGAAAGTCACTGTATAGAAAGTTAATCTATTTCAGCCTCAGGGACCTTACTCATGGTTTCAATACAGTGAGCTGCTGATGTACTGTAGATTTGACTCAATTACTTGGAAACACCCCAACAATTTGTAAAACAATTATAGATGCATCCTGATCCCTTTGAAAGCCACCAGAATAACCAAAACTAATTATCCATGAACACAGCAGACCATCCGCAAAGTCAGCTACTGTATTATCCCCAGAAACAAATCTTCAGATATACATACAGTCAGTGGAGTGTGCCCAGTGGAGCAGAGACACTGGCTGTCATCCTCACACAGCCATCTGTCTGAACTGATATCTGACATGGGAATAAGACATTTCCTGGTAGTGCTGGTGGGTGGAATATTAAACTTGTACAGCTACATGAGAGCTGACAGTGGCATGAAAGTTAAAGTGAATAACCTCCTGAGCATAAAGCAACTGGTTCACTTTCAAGACCCGATTGAGAAAATGCAGGGGGAAAGAAAAAAGAAACAAGCATCTTTACCTCTGAACATCTGCTATTAAAGAACCCCAGGCACTTAACAAAAGCATACTTGGCAAACAAAGCACAAGGTAAATGGAAGTTAAATCAAAACTGCCACTCATCTGCTGGGCCTACCATAAGATGTACTGCAATAAAAGCCTGATGAAGTTCTACTTGCAGGAAACTCAGTCACTGCATGCTTCTCATATATCAAGCTTTTGTGTGCCAGCTGCTGCACATGTGGTCAGATGTTGATGTGCATAATGGCCGATAAATATAGAGACTCGAAATGTGCATTAGGGACGATGTTACCTGACACTGGAGCGCAGTGGAGATCATTACACCTTCAATTACAGGACATAGTCTGTCTCACTGTTTAGAGACACAAATATTTTGTTTAAACATAATGGTGTAAAAAAAAAGTTTACATTTCAGGCAAGGAAGGACCCAAGACACGGTCTAGAGTTTAGTGTTTGTTTCTCTTCAGTTATAATAAACTAAATAAAAGGGGCAAGTAAAACAACCAAGTGCTCAACCTGACAGGGCTTCACAATACAGGTACAAAACTGATGTCTAAACAGAACATCAGGGAGCTACAAGAAACAAACTAAATAACTAAAACAAACCCAGAGAACAAACCAAGAATCTTGCTGACAGGAAAAACTCATAAGAACAGTCCAGAGGTAACAAGGCAAGAACCAAACAGGAGACTGATACAAAAAAAAATCACGTGGACAGGCAGGTGGTGCACAGCGAACCAGACAACAGGGAGGCAACAAGGCATGGAGAATAGAGGCACCAGCCACCCACTGAGGGAAGGAGGGAGGGAGGATTTATAGACAGGAGACCAGGGGGTAACAAGCAGCAGGTGGAAGCAATGAACAGAAATTGTGAACTGGGGTAAAGCTGGGGCAGATGAGGTGACACAAGACAGGAAATCTAACCAAAATAAAAGCTCAAAACAGGAAGCAAGTCCACATACCATAACAAATATAAACTATTAGCAGAAATATGATAGACAGAAATCTCAAAACCCGAGCTAGTTGCATGGTCCATAGACTACAGATAAAAATGGACATTGCATCAGCACTTCTCTATGCAAAAGTGAAACCAAGGTAACATGAATATGGCAGCTAATATCTACCAAAAAGGACAGAAATCATCTCTCAATCAGTCAACCTTTATTTATATAGCACTTTAAAATGACTGGAAGTCAACCAAAGTGCTTTACAGCAGTCAGATGGAATAGTAAAATAAAATAAAATAAGTATAAAGTAGATAACATTTAATTAAATAACAAATATATGAACAGATTCAGAGTTAAAAGCTGCTTAAGTCAAAAGGAAAGTGTCATTAGATTTGTACTTTGAGTTTTTAGTTTGGCTCATGTCCTGTCCACTAATATGGAGGAGGTGGGAGTTATGATCTGTACTGAAACCAGCCATTCAACGCGCAGTGGCTTCACTTCTGGGAGCTGTAATGTCAGCTGTGTTTTATACAGTCAGTGGCATGGCCAGATCCCAGCCGAGGTGTCTTTTTGTAATTTGAGTGAAGTGACCCTTTTACTATGTGTTTCTGGGTTGGTTGATGGTAAAACAATGCTGCCTATCACTGCAAGGCCTGAAACAGCCATTCATACTCATCAATAAAGCAATAATTCAGTAATAAAATTCTGAATCCAACATGATTCTTTTTCTAAGCTAATATGTGAAAACATGCATGCATTTTTTTTGTCAGTGCATTTTAGTTGTTTACAATTACAGCCATTTACAGTGGGTATGCTAGAAAATTCCTCTCTTCTACCAGAAGCAGAGATGGCATTGAGTCACTTGTAGAAAGTGTCATAAATAACGTGATTTTGTGAAATTGCTTGGCAGCTGTTTTATAAAGCTCCCCAGAGTCCATCTAAAAGAGGAAGCGCAAGGTGGATGGCACAGTGCCAGATGCACACACACAGAGTACCCACTGTCTCACTGCTTGCACACAAACACATGGAGACAGAGGTGGAGGCCAGGCCAGAGAGGGTGAATGTTTATTTCCTCAGAGCAGAGGCAGACCTTTTAGACACTCTGCTCTTTGCTGCCTGTTTTCAGTCATCCACCTGCTTTACAAGGTTTGAGAGCAGACACTGTGGTGAGTGACTAAAGTAGGCTCTGTTTTTTATGTCCAAGTTTGTTTGTGTTGCTATGTCACTTTATAGTTAGTGAAGTAAAGCAGAAGGACATTAGAAATACTGCCACAGACGTTTGGCGTTTCTTCACTTTTAATATGCTGATGATTCTTCAAATGTGATGAATGTTGAAAATTCTTTCCACAGAGGTCACAGAGGTAGGGTCTCTCTTCGCTGTGAATGTGCTGATGAATCCTCAGAAGTGATAAATATATAAAACTTTTCCCATGACCTCATAACAATAGAGCTCGTCTTCAGTGAGAAAGTGCTGTGTTTCGCAGTCGGCCAGGACAGTAACACAAACTGGACTCGCATCGTGCCCAGAGAAGCGTCTGTGAGTAACAAGTGAGGATAAAGTGTTTGGATGAGTAGGAAATGTCTTCAAGACCACAAAGAAAATCCAGTTGACTTTGCATTACTGAATGCAGTAGCAGGTTGGCTGAGGGCCCTTTTTCCATCTCTGGTTAATCTGAAAAGTCGTGATCATCTCAGTTTGACATGACTGGTCAAATAAAAGAAAGATACTTGGCGCTCAGATTGTAATGCCTGGACCTCTAGAGCTACATGTCTTTGAAGATTTTCCACAATCAGTCTGTTTGACAGCTCAGTGGAGCCTTGTACATTTAGGGATTTGCTCACTTTTGTGGTAATAGCTGCAGAACAGGGACTGTTACTAGAAACCTTTGTTTAACAAGTTAAGTTGTACATACAACCGTTTACTATGTGATTCTATGAAAGGTCATCTGGTGCTGAAAAGTGAGAGCTACATTACATTATATCAGAGGCATTGTCATTGCCAGTTTTCCACTGAGCTCTTCATGTCAACATCCAAGTTGTAATTATGATGGGGAAAATCAACATTTTCTGAAAGCTTTGCTGTACCCAGGGCTAAAAAGCACAAATGTGCCATCACAGTCTATTGTTAAAGGTTAAAGAAGTTGAATTCTGGTTGATATACTGTAGTGCTATGTTGTAAAAACACTATATGTTTAACCTTAACACATCCCACTGTAGAGTATAACAATTTTGTATCAACTGTCTTTCTACATGTTTAGAATTTATTGCAGGGATCTCCAAGAATAAGAAAGAAACATTAGCAGAAGTTGACATCTGGAGATTGTGAAGGCCATTAAAAGAGCGTTTAACAAAATTCCACTTCATTGTGACTACCTCAAATTGTGTAACATTGCTTCTGTGTCAATTAAAGGCTATGCTTGAATATGGAGGTGAGGTCATCCATCATTTCCCAAGGCAGTCTGGGGATGAATGAGTTGGATCCAGACACTCCCAGCTGCTCTGGTCTTTCCCAGGTAGACTACAACAATCATGCATCCTCACAACTACAATAATCAGTTTCCTTTCAGCTGGGAATTGTGCTCCGGTCTCTCAAGCTGTTCGTTGTTGCCATCCACCCTTGGATCTATTCCCTGTTTCCCACATGGCGCTCAAGGTTAGCACACTGGCTTGTTGAGAGGCCTGCTCATTATCCATCATGCAGTTTAATCTACTATATCATGTTTTGACAAGGGAGGCTAGGATACAGTAGCTTGCAGTTTGTGTGTGTAAAACATTGCTGTAGCAATGGAAACTCTATTTTATGATTTCAGTTGCAGAACACTGACCACTGAATATATTCTGGCTGACAGTTAACTTGAACCAAAGAGTAATTAGTGTCTGAAGGGCCGACAGGCACAACAGGGACTGTGACTAATAATGTGGAGTATAGCTTTCTACCCAGAGAACACTAGAAAATGTACATATGGTCTCTGGTTGGATGGCAATACATGTGTGTTCCAGCTAGTCTAATTAATGTTTGCACAGTGGCTGTGATGAGTGACTTATAAAACTGTTTACACTTTATAGATTGACCATGACAATATAAATCACAGATTCTCATACAGATGAGTTGGATGATTTAAGGAATTCCTAATGCAACAACTTGCAGCACAGATAAATGTTCAGGATAAAATGTTATGCATTTTAAAAAGCATGACTACTACCACTCCGACATCCAAGCCAGCCACCATATGTGTCATCTTTTGAAGGCCAGTCAGGTGATGCAGTGCAGTCGGTCCCTCCCTCCCTGTAGTTTTTCTTTGACCTTTTCCCTGATCTTTTTTGCACTTGACTTAATAGAGGAAGGTCGATGTCCACATCTGAAGACAAATACCAGAACTGGTCTTCACCTTTGAAGGATGATACATTCTTAAAAGTGTTTGTGTATGTGAGATAGCAAGGCAGACAGAGGTCAGAGACAAAGACAGGGAGAAATCATGACAGAGATTCATGAAGAAAGGATCAAAGTCTGACAAGGTGATGAATTTAAGGTCATAGGGGGAACATGCAGTGTGCTGCTGTTCCGGTGAAAACCAGACACTTGTTGATTCTGAGAAAAAATGAATTACAGCCATATGGGATTTTGGTCAGTGTAAATTGTGTTATAACCTCTTGTGCCAAAGTGTGCATGACAAAGATTTGAAGGTGAGAGTTTTGGGTAAAATACTGTAATGTTTTGTGAGCCCTCTCCAGCAAGGGAACAAGTAAGAGAATAAAATATGCTTCTTTCTAATTTGGATGAACTTTTAGATTTCAAATAGTGATATTTTACAGCTTACAATGAAACTGTTATACAATCTGTTCACAAAATGTCCTTGTAATTTTGCTATTACTAAACTATAGTTTACATCATCATTACGCCAAGGATTAGAAGACATCTGTGTAACCAGTGACCACTTCGCCTTTCAAGTATAGCGGACCCTGCCTACTATCAGCACTCTGAAACTCAACGTTTTTCTCACCACACATCCTGGAGACTCTGCAGTAAAATGTCAAGATATCATGTTGGGATGCAAAGCAGTTATGCCCACTCATCCTAACTGGGCTCTCAAATCAATAAGTAAATTATACTTTTATGAAAATTACATGAGGGCCCTGTTGTGCAGGAGCCACCCGTTGACCCACTAATTGGCCCTCTGTCCATCCATTCATTCAGCTCTTGCTTCTCTTCCTGTGCTACACATAGGTCCAGTTGGTGCTGACAAAAGGACAAGTTATAT